GCTTTGTTAAATCAATTTGTTATTGTGTTCATTGATGATATATTGATTTACTCCAAGAGTCGAGAAGAACATGTTGAACACTTAAGGTAAGTTCTGAAAACTCTTAGAAAAGAAAAGTTGTATAAAAAATGGAGTAAGTGTGCATTTTGGCTCGAACAAATCACTTTGTTGGGTCATATAGTTTCTAAAGACGGAATATTTATGGATCCAGCAAAAGTTGAGTCTATCATGGGATTGGAACATCCCACTATGGTAAAGGGTGTTCGAAAATTTTTGGGTATGGTTGGGTACTACTGTCAATTTATGAAAGGATTTTCTAAGATTGCAACCCCTCTTACCCCGCTTACTAAAAAGGATATTAAGTTTGAATGGACCCGAGATTGTAAAAATAGTTTCAAAGAACTCAAAGACCGACTTGTGACGACTCCAATACTAACACTACCTAGTGGATCAAGGGGCTATGCAATATATACTGATGCGTCAGACTAGGGTTTAGGATGTGTGTTAATGCAAAATCACAGAGTCATTGCCTACAGGCCAAGACAAATGAAGAATCATGAACAAAATTACCTAACCCATAATTTAGAATTGGTTGTAATTGTACATGCCCTTAAGATCTGGCGTCATTATTTGTATAGAGAGACGTTTGAGATCTGTATTTATCACAAAAGTCTAAAATATCTCTTCACGCATAGGGAACTGAACATGCGCCAGCGTAGATGGATAGATTTTCTTAAGGATTATGATTGCAAGATATCCTACCATCTAGATAAAGAAAATGTGGTAGCTGATATACTGAGTTGCAGTACCTCCAGCATGATTGCAAAACTAGTAGCTTCTAAATGCAAGAGTCTAGAGACCTTATAAGAATTGCAATGGGATATTCACAAATGGAGAATGTATATAGTCAGCTTGATAATCGAGCCAGTATTAATTTAGAAAATTAAAAATGCTCAAGAAACTAACACTACTATAGGGATCTTAAAGAAAGAAGCTGAACAGAGTATAAGACCTGTCTTCAAATTTCACGATGATGGGTTGCTTCGATTCAGAGGAAGGTTATGCATTCTTGATGACCCTAACATAAAGAGACTCATATTAGAAGAAGCACATAATTCTAGATTTACCACACACCCAAGCATCACCAAAATATACCAAAACTTACGACCTCGGTACTGGTGGATTGGGATGAAGAAAGATATCTTCGAATTTGTTAGTAAATGTCTCACATGTCAGAGGATTAAAGCCAAAAATCAAAAGCTAGGGGGATTACTTCGACCTTTACTAATTCCTCAGTGGAAGTGGGAACACATCACTATGGATTTTGTGATTGGTTTACCTACGAGTAGACTGAACCATGATACTATTTAGGTGACCGATTAATGAAGTCAGCCAATTTTCTACCAATAAAAGTTACAGATCTTTTCAATAAACTTGTCAGATAATATATTAAGGATGTTATTAGACTTCACAGAATTTCGGTATCAGTAGTTTCAGATCGAGATGCTCGTTTCACCTTTAAGTTTTGGACAAGTCTTCAACAGGCCTTAGGCGCCACTTTATCATTGAGCACAACATTTCACCCACAAACAAATGGTTAAACAGAAAGAACCATCCAGACATTAGAAGATATGCTAAGGGCTTTTGCACTAGAGATGGGAGGAAATTGGGACGACCATCTACCATTGATTGAATTTATTTATAACAATAGTTATCAGTCCAGTATTAGCGCAACTCCATATAAAATACTTTATGGTAGACCTTGTAGATCTCTTATGCGTTGGAAGAAATTGGGGATAGGAAATTAATTGAACTCGAATTAATTGAAGAAACTACATCCAAGATTGTCCTAATTAAGAAAAACCTTCAAACTACCCAAAGTAGACAGAAAAGTTATGCAGATAACTGTAGAAGGAGTTTGGAATTTGAAACAAGGGATCATGTATTCTTGAAAGTGTCACCAATGAAGGGCCTTATGAGATTTGGAAATGAAGACAAATTGAGCCCTAGCTTTATTGAACCGTTCAAAATACTGGAGAGAATTGGATCTACTACTTATCGATTGGCATTGCCACCATAGTTGGCTAACATTCATGATGTATTTCATGTGTCCATGTTACATAAATACCATCCTGATCCGTCACATATAATTCAGCATGAGAAGATTCCTATTGAAGAAGATATGTCCTATCAGGAAATGCCCATAGAAATACTGGACAAATATGAATGGGTATTGAGAAATAAAAATATTCTGATGGTTAAGGTACTCTGGCGACACCATTCGCCAGCAGAAGCTACTTGGAAAATTGAAGATTCGATATGAGCTCAATTTCCTCACCTACTGCAGAGACATATCAATTTGGAGGATCAAATTTTTATAAGAATTGGAGAATTATAATATCCACCTAAGAAAATAAAAATAAAATTAAAATTAGGACTTAAATGAAACAAATGAGGAAAAATAGGGGTAAAAGTATAAATAAGCAGAAGTGGAAGGGGGCAAAAAAGAAATAGGGAACAGACGATTTTGATCGAATCGTTTGTGAAGATCAAATGGCTGAGATTTAATGGAGAACAGATGGCCCAGATCGAGCTAGCGAGATTTAACGATCGGGGTGAATGGGTATAAAAAGGAAAATTTTCAAGTTTCTCTTTATTTTGAAGAGTAGTCGAAAAAGAAAGAGAGAGAAGAGAGAAGAGCGATCAGGGAGAGAAGAAATAAGAGGGGGTCACGCGGGGAAGCTGAGAGAGAAGAAAGAATGAGAGGAAAGGAAGAGGGATGTTGAAGAAGGAGAAGAGTAAGGAGTAAAAAAAGAGTGGTCGAGCGGAAGAGAGAAGAGAGGAGACTCTCACACGAGGGAGCTAAGAAGAAGAAAGAATGAGAAGAAAGGAAGAGGGAGGCCGAAAAAAAAGAAGGGAAATAAAAAAAAAAGGAAAAGAAGAGAAGAGAGGAGTGGCTGAGCGGGAAAAAAAAGGGGAAACTGAGAACTGCCGCTGCGAGGGAAAAAAAGGGAAGAAGAAAGAGGCGGAGGTGGAAGAACGGTGTAAACAAAGCCGAAAGGAAAAGGAGGAAGAGGAAACAACCTGAGACACCATATGATGGCAGAAACCGAGGTTACTCAGGTTTTTTTAGCACCGCACCCGAGCTAGTGCGTTTCTTTTTTCTTTTAGTTTATGTTTTTGACCAAAAGAGTGTTTATATTTATGTGTGTGCAAGTTTGGGAGCTAAAGAGCTATGGGGTGACCGAGGGAAGACAACCGGGAGCCAACCGAGGCCGAATCACCCACGCCGAAAGGTAAAACAGTTTATTTTAATGTTTTTGTGGTGGTTGAGCGGCAGCAGAGTGAGGCTGGTGTCAGGTTGGCCACACGAGCTCGACAGGGCCACCCATATGTGTGGGAATCGAGAAGGTTTCCTCTGAAATGGAGAAAACCCACCCGCTGTGAAAACAGAAGTGTCTTCTGCAGGAATAGAGGCCAGAATTGCCTTTTGGGGTTATGATTTGCTGTCCAGAAAGCTGAAAAATCTTTCTCGAAAAATAAAACTCTGATTCGCTAAAGGAAAAGCCGAAAGGTTTTTCGGGTATGGATTTCGATAATTTCGAGTATTCTGTTGGGTGGTCATTAAAATTCATAATCTGATTAAATTAATTTTTAGTATTTTGAAGGATTTTAATTAATTTTTATCGTGTGTACAGAAAAATTTAGACATTCAGGCGGATCCAAAAATACGCATATGAGAGTAAATATTTCTAAATCTCAAACGGGTTCGAATTTCAAAAAGTGCATTCATTCTATTAAATTATGAATTTTAAAATTTGAACGGACATTAATCTAATTTTTGATGAAAAATAGAACCCAAACTATTATCAGTAAACCTAGGCAATTTGAACCCTATGAGGAGACGAAACTAAAAAACAGATTCAATGGACTGAGAGTTATTTGAACTGATGAAATATGAAATTGAAAAGAAAAATGTCCAATTAAGGAAAAATTGAAAAAGAAGAAGAAATAAAATAAAAAGGTAAAAATAGAAAGAAAAAGAAATAATTAAGGTTATGAAATGATCATTTAAATAAATTAAAAATTTTGGAATGAGAATGGTAAGAGCCGAAATTATGCCTCATATCGAGTATCAGGATGTGACATGAATGCTTGAAGATGACTTAACCATAATTTTCATGATCACCATCATATAAGAATAAAAGTTATTGATTATGAATTTTTGTTTCTCTTATTTGGTATATCTTACTCAGAATAAGGTTGTGTTTGTAAGTATCACAAATGCCCCCACGTAGTGCCCATTAAGGCCTAAAATGATTTCAAGCTCTTTAAGAGCACCTAGATTAAAGATACCAAAAATATGGAAAATGCTAATAGGTAAAACTATCTTTGTGATGCTCCCTCTTGAATGTAACTTAAAGTTAAAATTGATTCATTTAGTCACAATAATCTTTAAGAGGCTCACGCTTGGAACTCTTTAGAAATGCTTATGCATGCCATCATCTTCATACTGAGTTAATCAATAAAAAGAACAACTTTAATCTTATCAATATAAAGAGCCTAACATATTACTACTAAAGGTGTCTGTCAACCTCTTAATAAAATGTTTGATGAGAATAACCACTTGAAACATTATCTCGAAAAATGTTGCATACTTTTGGATTGCATTAACCATAATACCATAATCTATATATGTTAATGTAGTAACAAGTGTCTCGATTCTACGATCAATTTCAGTTTTTCAGCACTTTTGATAGATGAAATCTTATCTTAAAGTCTCTAAAAAATCAATCAATACAATTGACTTGCTCATTTTCTTTTTCCACAAAAAAAAAAAAAAAAAAAAAATCTTATATAAAGGATATATATGCTTTGTAGTAGGATGGATATATTAAAGAAATAGCCACGTTTATAAGGTAAAGTCAATTATTTGGTTGGTCATATTAATATATGTAATATGATTAAGATAGGTAATTAAAGGTAAACAATTAGTAATAGTGGTTTGAACCCAATAATATAATTAAAAAAATAATCACGAGTAGTAGACCAGCCAACCATCCGTTTTGCAATAAATGCAGACTTTACACATGGAAATCCATCACTCGGAAATGTAGACGACTACTTAAATGGCTCATATGAAGAGACCGTGAAATTTGTAAGCTTTTCCCCTTTCAGTTCTTAACTAACGCCTTTCATTATTCACCTACCATTTATACAAATCCATTTCTTCTTCTTCTTTCTTGTACATATACATACATATATTTTCACCTATCTGATCTCCCTTTCTTTCTCACAAAACAATCACCTCAGATGGACCCAAAACAACCAAAGCAACTGGATTTATTCTTACCCAAACACAAACTCGAATTACAACCAAAACCAAACCAAACCCACCAATATTTTAAACCCAGTGTTGCAGACCAAAACAATAAGCGTATTATATGGGATTGCGGCAGCACGCTTTACGACTCGTTCGAGCTCAACTCATTCAGACGCCAACTCGACTCAACCATTTCCAGAACCCTATCCATGTCCCACGTACCCGATCCTCTTCCCCCTTCCGTCCCCAAGAAATCCTCCAAGCTTTCTCGTTCTCTTAACAAATTTTTCAGGTCTGTCTTCAAGTTCAAGCGAAACAACGGCTCTGTTTTCGACGTCAACCACCGATCCCAAGCTCAATACTACGACAAGTCCGGCGCTCTTACTACCATCCTCGAAGTCCCCGAGATCGATCTCGGTGGGTTTTCGCCGGAGATGATCAGGAAAACTGCATCGGAGAGGTTCACATCGTCTTCACTGATTGGTATCTCTTATGCTTAGTCAATAAATAGATACTATATACATGTATTTGTCTAAATTAGGACTGTGCCAATATATACAGGAGTACCATTTATCTTTCCATGTGTACAGTTATGCCGTGATTTAGAAAGTTTTCAAGTTTGACTTTTCTAAACTTTGAGTTATTGTAATTTTGGTTTTTGTGACAAGTTATATTCAAGATATTGAAGGAGGCGTTCTGCTGTTTTTTGACCCATTGGATCTTGATCCAGTGAATTATATTATATATACACCTTTAAAATTAATTAAAGTGTATTTTTTCTATTAAGAAAATGGGGGGCCTCTCTGCTAAACGCATCTAATAGGAGTCGTTTTGCTTTAGTTGTTCATCAAATTTAATTATCTCGTATGTATACATATACATATATATATATATATACATATATTTTTTTTCACTATATTAATGTTAGTGGGTGTTAAAGTTAACAAATATCAAGGGCAGTTGAGAGAGAGATTATTATTAACCAATATATGTTAAATTAGAAAGAGTATATATTATACAAACGCAATTCCTTTAAGAGATAACCTTGAAGATATTAGTAAAAGATACAATTACATATATCTGGTGCATTTGATTATTTTATAACAAATAAATAAAAAAGATCTAATTATACTAATATAATTCATAGCAATCAAATACCCAATGAATTTATTTTCTCTGAGTCTCAATTTGTACTTCAAAATTAGGAGTTCAAATTAATTAATGAACGTTGCATTTAAACTTTATTAAGTCATATTATTTTCATATATAGTTTTATTTATTTTGACCTGATAACATTTCATTTATTTTAAAATTTTTATTTTTTTTATTTTTTTTATTTTCCTTTCCGTTCCGTCCATTCAATATGTATGATCAACAAATTTTAAGGTTAAGGAAATAAAAAATATGGATTTTAATTTTTATTTAAACTCTGTAATGTTACAAAAAATAATTTCTCCAAATTGATAATCTCTTCTTGCAGGTGTTTTTATTAATGTTTTTTCTTGAGTGTCAAAACTTAACTCAATTATAAATTCATAAAAATATTATTCTAATATTTTATTTTAAAGTTATTCTAATAGAGAATTAGAAGACTTGGCAATAGCAACAAACAATCGGATTCACCACCAAACAATTTTTTTAATTTTTAATTGATTAGAAAGAAAAAGAAAAATAAAAAATAAAAAAGAAAACTGATCCCATATTCTTCTTCATTCACTAATTTTCTAGTCCTTTTTCTTTAGAAAATTATGTAATTTTATATTGGACAAGAAATGCAGAAATTAAGAATTACCCAAGATTAACATACAGTTAATCTAACAGTTATGTATGAATATGTGTTTTTTATTAGGTTTAAGTTAATGAATTTTATTATTTACTTAATAAGTTATTAAAGAATGCTTAGTATATTCTACAAATTCTCCAATCTTATTATTTAATTAGTCAATAAAATTAATTAATTAAAAAATTATTATATAATTGAATTTAATTCATATCTAAAATATACTTAGGTCAGACCTTTTTGTTTTTTCATAAATTTAATCATATTCTTATATGAATGAAATAAAAGTTTTGCATCAACTTTTATGAAAGTTACACTTGCCTTTAAGTATGTATTTATTACCATATTACATTATTTTCCCAAGAAGATAATTCTATGCTGTTGTGGAGTACTATATTTTCAAGTACTTGGTTTTTAATATAAAAAAATTACTTGCATGGTTAGTTTTGTATTTTATCATTGCCCTCTAAATTTATCCTATAATTACACATATTAGTTGTTTATAGTGATGGTGAAATGTAGAATGATACAATAAGATTGATATTGTAATATAATTGTAACTACTAGCTTTTTAACTGCTAAAGTTTAATATTTGAAAAATAATAATTTTAATATTTGAAGAATAAATTGAGAAACACGTCAGAGAAAAAAGATAATCTATCATATGTGTAAACTAGATAAGTTGTTAAAATTCAAATGTCCCAACTTGTTCCACTCGTGCCATCTTTTACCTTACTATAGAGTACCAATATAGAATTAATCGAACAGGTGAATGATTGAACCAAACTACATACTGTTTCGGAAAGTTTTGCATCAACTTGTCCTTAGTAGCTATTTATTACCATATCATATTGTTTTCCCAAAGGGATAATTCTTTGTTATTGTGGAGTACTATATTTTCAAGTACTTGCTTGGTTTTTAACCAAAAAAAAAAAAAGTACTTGCTTTGTTAGTTTTGCATTTTATGATAATCTTATAACTTCATCCAATAATTATTGAATTATTACAAAGTTATTGCACATATTAGTTATTTATATTGATAGCAAAATATAGAATGATACAGTAAGCTAGATATTATAATACAACTATAACTATTATTTTTTTAATAGATAAATTTAAAGATTTAAATAACAATATTTTTAATATTTATTTAATAAATTAGAGAACATATCAGAGAGAAAAGATAATCTATTATGACTGTAAACTAGATGAGCTGTTAGAATCTAAATATCCCAACTTGTTCCTCTCATACCATCTTTTAGCTTATTGTAAAGTTCGAATATAAAATTAATCCCACGAGTGAATGATTGAACCAAACTACATGTAGTTTTTGAAAGTTTTGCATCAACTCCTCTAAAAGTTACACTTGCCTTTTAATAGGTATTTATTACCATATTACATTGTTTTTCCAAGGGGATAATTCTATGTTATAAAGGAGTACTATATTTCAATAACTTGGCTTTTGATAAAATAAAAAATAAAAGTACTTACTTGGCTAGTTTTGTATTTTATGATAGTCCTGTAACTTCATCTAATAATTATTGAACTATTATAAAACTTGTCACATCTCGATACTCGATATAAGACGCAATTCCTACTCATATCATTTTATGCAATGAGTCCATAAAATATATACATGCGTAGATTAAAAATATAATACAACTTAGCATCCTATGTAATATGTACAATAACTATATATACAAAACATGAGGTCGAAATTTAGAGTCTAACAGAACAAAATAAAACTTTTCGAATATGTACAAAATATGCAAAAACAAGAACCCTTTTTACAGGTTCTACTTATTTGGCAGCGGTACTGGATCTTTATTCTCCTTTAAAAAATATCAGAGTGAAATTTAATGAATTTCATCAATTCAATAAGTATTCCTGTTCTCTCAACCCATATAAAATTTCATATAAAACACACAGTAAGAAACAAAAATAATTAAAAATATTTCAATGCAAAATACATATTCTTATTTTCACTATTTCACATGTTTCTGATCGATCTTCTGAATTCTCTCAAATATCATATACAAACATCAATTGTATATTCTTATACTCTCGAAAGTCATAAATGCACTCGAATATCAATCGTCATTTCAAAACATAATCACATACACACAAAAGATCATATATACACTCAAAAGGTTAGTTCTATGATTTCATTGCACGATGTCGTTTATGTCATCATCGAGAAAATGTGAAATAGATCCCCTCATCGCATGGATAGCACACACATACAAAAATCACCCAATGGCTACAGCAGGTACATTTGCTAGGTGACCCACACTCACACATACCTATCCACGTCTGAATTAGGTTTCAAACTCTATCTATGTGCAGGTTCACCATGCCCTGCTAAACTTTAGCCCCACACACACACACTCCCCTCTTAAATTCAGACTAAACGAGAAGATATTTAGGGTCCTTACCCTATTCACTCCTACTCTCTCATTTCAAAATTCTTATTTTATTTAAATGATCATTTCATAACCTCAATTATTTCTTTTCCTTTCTATTTTTACCTTTTTATTTTTTTTCTTTTTCAATTTTTCCTTAATTAAAAATTTTCCTTTTTAATTTCATATTTTCCTTAATTAAAAATTTTCTTTTTAATTTCATATTTTATCAATTCAAATCATTCTCAGTCCATTGGGTATGCTTTCCGGTTTCGTCTCCTCATAGGGTTTTAATTGCTTAGGTTTACTGATCATAGTTTGGGTTATATTTTTTATCGAAAATTGGGTCAATGTCTATTTAAATTTTAAAATTCATAATTTAATGAAGTTAATACACTTTTCAAAATTCAAACCCGATTGAGATTTAAAAATACTTACCTTCTTACGCGTATTTCCGGATCCACCTGAATGTCCACATTTTCTTGTACACACGGCATAATTTAATTAAAATAATTTAAAATACTAAAAATTAATTTATTCAAATTGCGGGTTCCAACGACCATCTAACAGAATACCCGAAGTTATCAGAATCCGTACCTGGAAAACGAATTGGATTTTCGGCTTTCCGTTCGGCGAATTGGATTTTCGTTTTACGAGAAAGACTTTTTAGCTTTCTGGACGGCGAATTGGAACCCCAAAAGGCAATTTCGACCTCTATTCTCGTGGAAGGCCCTTCGGCTTCCACAATGGGTGGGTTTTTCCCATTCCCAAGGAAACCTCCTCGGTTCCCGCACGGGTGGGTGGCCTAACCGAGTCCACGCGACCAACCCAACACCAGCCCCGCCCCACCACCGCCCAACCACCACCAAAACATGAAAAAAATTGTTTTATCTTTCAGTGTGGGCGATTTTGCCTCGGTTTGTCTCTCAGTTGTCCTCTCTCGGTTACCCCGCAGTCCTTTAGCTCTCAAACCTAGCTTTGGTGCGGTGCTCAAAAAACCCGACAACCTCAATTTTGGATTCTGCTGTCACATGGTGCTCCTCGTTCGCGATTCCCTCTCTTCTTCTCCCTCTTCCACGATTCTCTCTCTCTCCTCTCCCCTTACGCAGCCATTCTCGAATTCCCTTCTTCCCTCTCGACCATTCCCTTTATCTTCCCTTCTCTCTCCTTTGTTTTCCCTTCCCCTCTTCCCTTCCGGCCTCTCTCTTCTTTTCTCTCTCAGCTTCCTCACGTGACAGTCTTCTTCCTCCTCTCCCCGATTCCCTCTCTTTTTTTCTCCCTTCCTCTTTTTTGGCTTCTTTTCTAAATGAAGGAAACCTTAATCTCTTTCCCTTTCATACTCGTTTCCTTAGCCGTTGGATCTTCATGACTCGATCTGGGCCATCCGTTTTCT